ATCAGATATAGTGGCTCAGTTTGCACTCTAGTATCGGTGTAGGACTATAGTGTGAATAAGTCCTAGTAACAGTTAATCAGTTGAACTCCTGATCCTCAGTCATTAGGTCCCTTAACACCTTCCTACTTGCCTTGTGTTCTAGTCAAACACAGGTAAGGTTTTATAGCCACATTTATTTCACCACCTGACTTGAAGTTGTATACTGGCTCAAAATTGAATGATATAAATATTGAAATAAATGTGGCTTATAAAACCTTACCTGTGTTTGACTAGAATATCACCCACACAAACTTTGGTTTTTAATTGTATGAATATTGGCAGTTTATCTATTTTAGAAGGAGTATGTTATTTATATTGATCCTGTATGGTTATATCTACCTGAAGTGTTGCAGTACTGACTTTACAATTGAATTATGTGAAGTTAGTGCTACAGCTACCTGGGCACTTTTGTTCCAATTTAGGCAACAGTGTCTGAACTCACCAGTGGCATTATCCAAATTATGTGCCTATTAGCTGGAAATAGTACAATGAGGGAAAATTATCTGACTGTTAGCTCTAAATTATATATAATTAGGCTGGGGGGGTTTTCCTGATGAAGTACTTCTTGATTACTGTGCAGATAGAGCAAAGTCAGCACTCTCAACCTAGGAGAGAAGTTTGAGCCTATAAAGGAGCCCCTCAACGCACCAGTGCGATGACCACGTAGACAATTTGATGGCTCATAAGATACGAGCAGTAAGCCGAAATGCGTACCTGATGCTTTGTACGGCTTGCAGATTGATGTTCCTCGTCCTCGAGATGTGTTTACATGAGGAATGAACATCAGTCTCTTAGTGGGCAAGACAAGATGGGTGGTAGGCGTATGCATATCATCCTGTGCTGTATGAGGATTTTATTTGCCATCCATCTCCGAATTGTATGAGCCAGATATTGCGCCTGCCAATTGCAGGGCAGATCAACGTGAACGTCATCGTGAACAGTGACGGATCTCACGGTAGAGCGGGCCTATCAGCAGTTACCAGCATAGAGTTATCTGAGCAACGCGCATCATTGGCGGGCCTCAGGCTTCACAACAATTTACACACTGCCACAGTCAATTTAGCCACCAAGTTGAGAGGCACCTTTGGGTCTCACATTGCCTGCGACCAGTCCATCGGCGAATTTCGTGCTGGCGCAAGACACACAATCACACCGAATGGGACGACAAAACATTGCATTCATTCAATTGCAACATGACGTAGCACAAGCAGATGGGTATAATACACTGTGATGTCAAGAACAGATGTGATACAGAGTCATTGGGAGAGCCTACGCGACAGGGTGTACAAGGTGACAAGCGCGACGGCAGCCAGAAAGGCACAAGACTCGGCGCAAGACGGGGCGGGGGACGAACGCGCTCAGTTGTACTTGACCTTGATCGCGTCGACGTATGCGTCGCCTGATGTAGCCGGTCAGCGTGCTGAGCCTGTAGGGAGGAAAGATGGCTTACCGCGGCGGCTGTATTTAATCTTGATAGCGTCGGTGTACTCGTCATCGCGGCGGTCGTACTTGACTTTGATCGCATCGGTGTATTCCTCATCTACTGCGCGTCAGAATGAGGAAGAGATAGTACTGGGGAGTGTACGTACCGCGGCGGTCGTACTTGACTTTAATCGCGTCGGAGTACTCCTCGTCACGGCGATCGTACTTGACCTTGATGGCGTCGGTATAGGGCTCATCGCGGCGGTCATACTTGACTTTAACCGCGTCGGAATACTCTTTGTCACGACGGTCGTACTTCACCTTGACAGCGTCCGAATAGTCCTCGTCACGTCGGCTGTACTTGATCTTGATCGCATCGGAATAATCGTCATCGCGGCGGTTATATTTCTCCTTGATCGCGTCAGAGTAATCCTCATCTGATACAGGGAATGTGAGCAGGGCTGCATTCGGTTACATGAGGGGAGGATACCACGACACACCTCGTCTGCTATACTTGATCCTGATTGCGTCGGAGTAGTCCTCGTCGCGACGGTCGTATTTGACCTTGATGGCGTCCGAATAGTCTTCGTCACGGCGGTCGTACTTCACCTTGACAGCGTCCGAATAGTCCTCGTCACGTCGGCTGTACTTGATCTTGATGGCATCGGTGTACTCGTCATCGCGGCGGTCATCTTTAACCTTGATCGCGTCCGAATAGTCCTCGTCACGTCGACTGTACTTGATCTTGATGGCATCGGTGTACTCATCGTCGCGGCGGTCATACTTGACCTTGATCGCATCCGTGTACGCGTCGTCTGTGGCGGAAGACGGGTCAGCAAGGGTGTGCGTAGGGCAGCAGAGGCCGTATGCGCACCGCGTCGGTCGTACTTGACCTTGGCTGTGTCAGCATAGTCTGCACAGGTGCGGTCCGATGAGCGACGGGTATGTAGTATTAGAAAGAGGAGCTCACCTGCGCTACCGACCGCTGGCAAGTCCTTCTCGTATGCGGAGGAGCGGGGGTCTGCGAGGGCGGGGCGGGGGTCAGCGACGGCGCGTAGAGGCGCAGAAGGTACGGCTCACGGGCGGTGGGGATGGCAAGGGCGACGAGAGGCAGGAGAGCAGCGAAGGCAAGAGAGAGACGCATGGTGGGCGAGAGGGATGGAGGGTTGGGATGCTGGGGGAGACAAGGGAGGGTTATATACCGCACAAAGGGCCATGTGTATGCGCAAGTGGCGAGGAAGACGGTGCAGACGGTTTCCAGGAGCGGAGTGGAAGACAGTCATGGTGCACGATGAGAGCCGGAAGAGGCGTGACAAATCGCCAGCCCCGACCCGAACAGCGCGTCGCGTGACGTCACCCGAGGATGAGCCAGTGCCACCGCCAGGTTGCCCTCGCCGCCCCCGACGCCCGGCTGGGATCCCCGAAAGTGGGGCAGAAGACAAGAGTTCCCATCCGCTGTCGTCGTGCATCGTCTTCGGCCGTCGTTTTCGCCAGGCCACGGTGGCGCCGCTCCTTGGGCCTTGGGATCCCCGTTGCTCGCTCGCCCTGGGCCACGCTGACTTCCCAGTATAGGCCACGAATGGCACGCCCTTCAAACGATGCTCGGATACCCAAAGGCGCGTGCCCCGTCTCTGCCGAGTTCTCCCTCATTTCTGCCAGTCCCAGTCCACCCTCGCATCGCACCTGCACAACATGTCCCTGCCGTACTCGCCCATCGCCCAAGGCGACCCGCACGAGTCCTCCGAGAAGCTCCTCGCTCAGCCCGCCGACATCGACGACACCGGCGCATGCCCCCGCCCGCGCCACCGCCCCTCGGTCTGGCGCAGCTCCTGGCTATGGCTACTCCACGCCTTCCTGCTCTTTCTCAACCTTTCCGTCCTCCTCTCACTGGTCTTGCGTTCCAGCTTCCCTGAACGCGTCGACTGGGACGACCTTCTCAACGCTCACTGTACGTCCTTGCACGCGCGCACCCGTCCTTGCTGACCCGCCTCTACAGCTCCTGTGTACCCCGCCGTCGAGTATAATCTCGTCCGCTTCAACGGCACCATCGGCTTCCGCTCGCCCTACGTCGGCATCGGTCCCTCCGTTGATGCTGCCTGGGCAGAGGTCACCGACCACAGCGGCTGTGCGTGGCCGCTCTCGTCGTATCTACACTCGCTAACCTGCCCGCAGCGCTGCCCATCCGCATTCCCGACGACTACCTCTCCCGCATCCGCCTCGACGACTCCCACCGGCCGTCCAACGTCCGCTTCCTCCCCGAGGATGGCGGCGGAAGCATGGGCTCCATAGATCTCTTCCACAACCTCCACTGCGTCGTGCGTTCCTGTTTCCGCCGTGTCCTTGTGCACCGCTGACTCTTCTCGCGCGCAGAACATGTTCCGCAAGTACTCTTACTTGGAGGACTACCCCGAGATCCAGGACATGATGTCCACGCGCCCCCGCTTCTTCCGCGACCACATGGGTGCGTCGCGCTCGCGCCGCCTCGTCCGTTCTCCCCAACGCTGACCACGCACGCAGACCACTGCCTCGAGATGCTCCGCCAGAACCTCATGTGCCATGCCGACATCGCGCTCATCACCTACGACTGGGTCGCCGACTTCCCCAAGCCCTTCCCCGACTTCAGCACCGTGCACCAGTGCCGCGACTTTACAAAGATCCAGGAGTGGGAGCGCGCAAACCGCGTGCGTGTCTCCCTGGAGCGCATCCAGGCCACGAGGAAGGGCGGGCCCGGCGAGCTCTCCGTCGCGGACGTCGACCTCAGTGGCGTGCTCACCATCGGCAGCATGGGCGGGGACGCGCCCAGCCGAACAGACTGAGCTGCGGCGTGCCTGATACAGTAGAGTAGGACCAGACTTTCTCGCCCTCGTGCTGTGTCCCGATTTGAACGCCGTGGGCTAGGCCCGTGGAGAGTCAAGGAAATCGAACACTATCAGAGTGATAGGGGCGAATCGCAGCCTGCGCGAATCCTCCGCCGTTCGAATCCAGTGCCACTTCGACATCGCCACGCGTGAATGCAGCTGACGCGAGCAAGGACGGAGATCTGGCAAGATGCGTTCTATCCGAACAGGCTCCTGCGCGACGGGCATGCTGTGACTTGCGCCGCCGGCGCAGCGAGGGCGAGCCTGAACTTCCTGTGCGCGTTCCCTCGGAGGAACACGCAAAGCAAGTTCAACGACCAGGCTCGCACCCTGGTGACGCACGGTGCCAGTCCTGCCATATTAATGCAGTCCTAACGGTGTCGCGTCGTTGTTCGGATCTGCCTGTCTTCCTCGCTGATAGGCTGGCGCCAGCCCAGCCAATGGCAATCTCATCCATCTTTCGACGCTGATGTCACCCTCCAGGTGCCTGTCAGCTGCTCGAGTGAATTCTGCCTCAAACGATGATATGAGTACAGCCCCCGCTGCACTTGCGCAGAGACGTAATCGAGGACGTCAAGTCTCGCAGGGCTACTGAGATTGGAACGACGCAGTTCATTGGGCTATAGTATTCACTCATCCCGACTAGAGAAGGGTCCCACAGGCCTAGATCTAGGCATGTCCTCGTGCACTATTCGTGCGCGGCCCAATTTTCTCTCATGGCTCCTCCGCGAGATCGACGTTGTCCGCGAGACGCACGACCCGCCTCTCGGGCACATGCACATGGTGGTCGTACGCCCAGCGCAGGACACGGGAAAAGTCGCGGCACACATGGCGCGTGCTAAAGTCCGGGTACTGTGTGCTGTGCCCCGCGACCCAGTCGTACGTGATCAGCCCGGTGTCGGCGTGGCACATCAGCGTCTGGCGCAGCATCTCGATGCAGTGGTCTGCGTGCGCGCATGTGTCAGGTCAGCGAGCGAAGACGAGACGGGCCGCGGGCGACGCACCGACGTGTGTGCGGACGGTGTCCGGGCGGGCGTCGAACATCGGGTCGCGCCCGTCGTAATACTCGCGATAGCTGTACTTGCGCAGCGCGTTCTGTGCGCGCGGCGTCAGCGGAGAGTCAAAGCAGGCGGGGCAGAACGCACGAGGCAGTGCAGCTGGTGGGTGAACTCGAGCGAGCCCATGTAGCCGCCGCCGTCGTCGTCCTGGAAGCGCACGAGGGATGGGTTCGCGGGCTTGCCGATCTTGTTCAACTCGTCCGGGGCGATGCGCAGCGCCCCCGCTGCAGAAATGCATTATTCGGTGGCAGAGGAAGGACTTCAGGGCACGCACGCTTCATGGAGATATACTCCCATGCCGCATCGATGGCGGGGCTTGGTACACCACGGTACTCGGACGGAAAACGGAAGGAGCCGTTGAAGTCGACGGTGTGGTAGGCGACCGCGTCGAGTGCGGGTGCTGGTGGGGCATGGTCAACGGGACCGTCGAGACGGGCAGCGGATGCACGCACAGTATGTAGAGAGGCGCGCCGCGCACTGTGCGTCAGACGGGGAGCGGGTGAGCTGGATGATCGCGGCGAGGGCGACAACAGAGAGCACGGCGGCGGCAGCGAGCCAGGGCCAGGAGCGGTGCCAGGCCGATGAGCGGTGGTGGCCGCACTGGCAGGCGCCGTTGCCGTGGGCGTTCACGCCGGTGGGCTGAGTGAGGAGCGTCTCGGAGGACTCGCGCGGGTCGCCTTGGGCGATGGGCGAGTACGGCGGGGACATGGTGCGCAGGTGCGGTGGCGGATGAGACTGGCCGCAGGTAAAGCTGAACAGAGCAGACTACGACGAGCGTTACGGGATCCGAAGAATGGTCTTGCCTGCATGGCCTAAACTGGCGATGCTCTAGCATTCCACCGTTCGAACGGTCATCGTCACGGTGCTCGGCTGCAGTCCTACCGCGCGCTGGGATCTCAGAGGCGCCACTCAAATGTCTATCAGAGTAGCGCCTCTTCCCACCCGAGGTAAAGACAACTTTCCTAGACGTGGAGTGGGGTTGCCTGGCGGAGTGGACGCGAATGGATGCACGGCGAAAGCGGAGTACCCGTGCGGGGAATTCTCTGCCGATTTGTCTGTTGCCCCACAGTGTCAGTTCCAAGCTCGTAATCAGCCCAGGGCAATTGATCGCTCCTCCTCCTCGGAATGTTGGAGTGATAGTCGGCCTGCTGCTCGGCTCGTCGTGGCGCCCGTGAGGACGAGAATTCTGCCAGGCCTTAGCGGAGCGCACTGGTTTGGTCTCGTTTGTGCGGGGTCAGCTGGAGAGCACTCACCTTGCCCCTGCTATTCAGTGGAGTAGATTCAGCATTACCCTCACGGTGCACCCACATGTTGCCAACCTGCAACTGGAGCGTTCTAATCGGAACCTAGAGAGGATACTGACCACGATGCGCACCTGTCAGTAACTGAGTATGGTATCATACCTTGTACCCTGCAGACGAAAAGGTCCAGACTACATCTCATTCACGATTGATTGCAACGATCCTGGTCTCGAAGTCTAATTAGGTTAGCGCCGGAGTGCAAACGCATGACACTGGTGACATACCAACCGAATAAATCTCAACAATGCCACACAGCGCTGAAAGAGCATCGCCAAATAGTCACTCATACCCATGTACACTCAACAACAATACCATTCCAAACATCAAAAAACACCGCACCATACATCAAAGGACAGGAATCATCGGAGAATATGAGGATAGAATGACTGGCAACGGACATGGTCGTATCAGAGCGGGTAATGAACAATTATCCAAACGAATGACACAAGTCGCATAGCACGCCTCTGCATTATCCAAAAATCCCACCCTCGGCCGCTAATAAATAATGAACATATGAGTTGACACATGAGCAAAGCGCCATAGAACGCACTACATAGGAACTCACCTTTACACCTAAATTCTGCACTTTGCTGGATGAGGAACGCACACCATAATTGCGTCTCAGCCCCTGGAATAGCGCAAATATCATGTAGACGCACCTCAGGGAAAATTAAAGTCTTCCTCAAGACTCGTCGCGATTGCTAGCACTTGATGGTCAGTTCAGTTTGGCACGACGCGCATCACACGCAAACATACTTCAGAGGAACATGAAGTCTTCCTCGGGCACCGTCGCAATTGCTAATGATTTATGATTTATTCAGTCCCGATACAACGCGCATGTGGACATACCTCAGGCTGCAAGGTCTTCTCTCAGCCACTCCTCAGGCTCCATCCCTACAGCTCATAGTTAGCTGTGCTCGGGCAATACAAGCACGCAGACTCACGTTTAGGCTGTGATAACTCTAGAACTCATAGTCAGCTAAGTTCGGGAAATACACACAGAGACATACGTCGGGCTGCAAGGTCTTCTCTCAGCCACTCCTCAGGCTCCATTCCTACAGCTCATACTTAGCTGTGCTCGGGCAATACAAACACGCAGACTCACTTTTAGGCTGTAATAACTCTGGAACTCATAGTTAGCTAAGCTCGGGAATCACACACACAGAGACATACGTCGGGCTGCAAGATCTTCCTTCAGCCACCCCTTAGGCTTTAATTCTAGAATTCATAGTCAGCTAAGCTCGGAAAATACACATACAAGTGGGGAGAACTTACGCGGAGCAGGAACAGCCAGAACGGCGACAGAGACAAGGGGAACGATGACAACAAGCGCAGTGGAGAAACGCATGATCAAACTTGTACGAAGAAAGTAACAACACTAGGGACGAGAGACGTGGAACGTGCAGTGCTGAAGGATGCGTCGGTGTGGATCCTATATAGCTGGAGTCCCAAGAATGATGGCATCGTTCGGTGCAGCAAACCCCCCGCTGAAACTCGTCGGGACAAGGCGCTGTCGAGGGGGACTGGGGTCGACATGAGCGCGCGGACACGATGAACTAGCGATCGTCGCTTACAGCTGCCGGTGTTGTCAACAATGCGCGAGCAATACCATGACATTCAGCCTCAGGCCTTATCTTCGCTTGAAGAAAAAGCTTCAAGACGATAACGCGCATACCTGCTACAATTACGATTGCCGGTTGAATAAACGGCAGTCATCTCCGACACACGCAACTACATGCTGCCGCATGTCAAAAGACATTTGTCGACCATAATGCATCCGCTGCCAAGAACGCTGGCGAGGGCCTGAGCTAGATCTCGTGAATAACAGGACAGACTTGCGGGCTTTCCTATCTTGTCCAGGTCACCTGGGACGATACGCAGCACCCCCGCTGCAGAGACACGTTATTCGGCGGCAGAGGAAGGAGAGCGGAGCACACACGCTTCATGGAGATATACTCCCATGCCGCGTCGATGGCGGAGCTTGGTACAACGCGGTACTCGAACGGGAAATGGAAGGAGCCGTTGAAGTCGACGGTGTGGTAGGTGACCACGTCGAGCGCGGGTGCTGGCGGGGCATGGTCAGCGGGAGCGCTTGAGACGGGCACGGATGGATGCATAATATGTTGAGAGGCGCACCACACACTGGGCTTTAGACGGGCGGTGAGCGAGCTGGAGGATGGCGGTGGTCACGAGCCAGGGCCAGGAGCGGTGGCGGCCGCACTGGCAGGCGCCATTGCCGTCAACGTTTACGTCGGTGGGCTGGGCGAGGAGCGTCTCGGAGGACTCGCAGCATTCGACCATCCGAACGGTCATCGTCACAGCATCCGGTTGCAGTCCTACCGCGGGCAGGAATCTCAGAGGGGCCACTCAAATGTCTGTCAAAGTAGCGTCCCCTTCCCACCCAAAGCAAAGACGACCTTCCCAGACGTGGAGTGTGGTCGCCTGGCACAGTGGATGTGAATGGGTGAACGGCGAAAGCGGAGTGCCCACGGAGGGAAATCTCGGCCGCCACAGCGTCAGATCCCAGCCGGAGATTGGCCCAGCGCAAGCGATCGCCAAGCCTACTCCGGAATGTTAGAGTGGCAATCGGCCTGCTGTGGCGCTCGTGAGGAGGCTTCGGCGGAGTACACTGGCTGGGTCTCGCTTATGCCGGGTCAGCTGGGGAGCACTCACCTTGCCCCTGCCATCCAGTGGAGTAGATCCAGCATTGCCCTCACGCCGCACCTCCACGCAGTCAGCCTGCAATTGGAACATGTGTATCGGAACCTAAGGGAGCACACTGACCACGATGCGCACCTGTCAGTCACTGAGTATGGTATCATACCTTGTACCCTGTGAAGGACAAATTCCAGGCCACATCTCTTTCACGGTTGATTGCAATGATCCTGGTCTCGAGGTCCAATCAAGTCAGCGCCGGAGTGCAAACGCGTGACACTGGTGACATACCAACCGAATAAATCTCAAAAATGCCACACAGCGCTGAAAGAGCATCGCCAAATAGTCACTCATACCCATGTACACTCAACAACAATACCATTCCAAACATCAAAAAACACCGCACCATACATCAAAGGACAGGAATTATCGGAGAATATGAGGATAGAATAACTGGCAACGGACATAGTCGTATCAGAGCGGGCAATGAACAATTATCCAAACGAATGACACAAGTCGCGTAGCACGCCTCTGCATTATCTGAAAACCCCTCCCTCGGCCGTTTATAAATAATGAACCTATGGGTTGACACATGAGCAAAGCGCCATAGAAAGCACTACATAGGAACTCACCTTTACACCTAAATTCTGCACTTTGCTGGATGAGGAACGCACATCATCATTGAGTCTTAGCTCCTGGGGTGGCGAATATCATGCAGACGCACCTCAGGGAATCCTTAAGTCTTCCTCAAGCTTCGTCGCGATTGCTACCGCTTTATGGTTAGTTCAGTTTGGCATGCCGTGCATCACACGCGAACATACTTCAGAGGAACGTGAAGTCTTCCTTGGGCTCCGTTGCGATTTCTAATGATTCATGGTTAATTCAGTCCGGGTACACTGCGCGTGCAGACGTACCTCGGATGGCGAGTGGGTCCAAGGGCTCCGCTAACAATTCACCAATTCACGGTTATTTAAGTCCTGGTCAAACATGAATGCACACGCACCTCGGATGGCGAGTGGGTCCAAGGGCTCCGCTAACAATTCATCATCCGTGATTACTTTGATGCTGATATAATGTGCATGTAGACATACCTCGAACTTCAGGGTATTCCTTCAGCCAACCCTCAGGCTCCAACTCTAGAACTCATAGTCAGCTAAGCCCGAGAAACACACACAGAGACGCACTTCGGGCCGCAAGGTCTTCCTTCAGCCAACCCTCAGGCTCCAACTCTAGAATTCATAGTCAGCTAAGCCCGAGAAACACACACAGAGACGCACTTCGGGCCGCAAGGTCTTCCTTCAGCCAACCCTCAGGTTGTAACTCTAGAACTCATAGTCAGCTAAGCTCGAGAAACAAACACGCAGAGACGCACTTCGGGCCGCAAGGTCTTCCTTCAGCCACCCCTCAGTCTTTAACTCTAAAAATCATAGTCAGCTAAGCTCGGAAAATACACATACAAGTGGGGAGAACTTACGCGGAGCAGGAACAGCCAGAACAGCGACAGAGACAAGGGGAACTATGAGAGCAAGTGCAGTGGAGAAACGCATGATCAAACTTGTACGAAGAAAGTAACAACACGAGGGACGAGAGATGTGGGACGTGCAGTGCTGAAGAGTGCGCCGGGGTGGGTCCTATATAGCTGGAGTCCCAAACATGACGGCATCGTTCGGAGCAGCAAACCCCCCACTGATACTCGTTTGGACAAGATGTTGTCGAGGAAGACTGGAGTCGACATATTCATAAGTGCGCGGACACAATGAACTAGCGGTCGTCGCTTACAACCGCCGGTGTTTTCGATCGTGTACGAGCAATACCATGACCTTCAGCCTCAGGCCTTATCTTTGCTCAAAGATAAAGCTTCAAGACGATAACGCACATACCTGCTAAGTACAATTACGACTGCTGGCTGAATAAACGGCAGTCACCTCCGACACACTCAACTCTACTCAACTGCATACTGCTGTATGTCAAAAGACTTTTGTCGATCATAATGCATGCGCTACCAAGAACGCTGGCAAGGGCCGGAGTCAGATCTCGTGAATAGCAGTATGTATGGCGACTTGATGGTGATAAGATTTGAGATGGCATATATTTCTAGTGACACCGTATTAGAATGTAGAGAGGTTTAACCGGAACAGATTGAAACTGAATGATACAACATGTTGTGTTGTTTCGATCGGCTGAAGTTCTCGGCATCAGATGCACACATCTCGTGAAAATATCAAGAAAACACCTTGACGATTTCGCCGGGCCCACTTTCTGTTGCGTCGAGTTTTGCCAGTGTGAAGTAAGGAGGCACGTACATGTGGTTCCGTTAGACTGTTACTTACTCTGCGCTATGTTCTTATGATATGGATTTTTGGAGTTGTTATAATATCCATCAAGCGCATCGAGATTATCCAGAGGGTTCAACTTGTTGCGCAGTCGCTCTCCACAGTTGGATCGTCGAGTATAGTGCTAGCGGGAGCCATGAAAAATGATGCTTTGAAACTTGAAGTACTACGCATCCGCGGAACGTCATCCATTTTCGGACGACGCACTCAAGGAAGTCGAGGTTTGACTGCTGGGTTCGCCTAGCTGTCAATTACGTTTAGTCATTGTATTTACGAGCGCACTATGTATCTCAAGGTGCGCACTCAACATTGAGTCGATCGTCCAACAACATGTACTGTCGCCGGCGGACGAGAATATACACTATCGTTCTTCATGCCTGACAGTGAGGAAGGATAACAGCTGCATCCTCCCACCCGCTCAAGCCTCAAGCCTCAAGCCTCAAGCCTTCGGGCCCCGAGGCTCAAGTTTCCTGCTAGCCTAGGCACTTCTGTTTGATTGAGGGAGACGCGAGACACGTCGCATGATAGGCGAGCCGCTTTTGTTGGATGCCTTCGATATTCAAGCATGATGGCATTGATGGCACAATAGTAACCGCCCTTGCTGCGTGCAACGACGAGTCAGAACGACTGATCTCTAAAATAGTTGGAGATAGCTGATGCCATCGAGTTTATTGCGACCGCAGAAGGAACTGGCGCGTCACAAGAAGCCAGTCGATGTGAACCCAGAGTCCAGACGAATATCTCGAGGATCGACCGAAGCTCACGCGCTCACAGGTGGGAAACAGAACGGAGAATGCCGGACTGCTCTGGCAATGGTTCACGCCACCACGGCATGCCCTACTTGTGCTACTATTACGGTCAAAGTATTTCTACCCTCTGGAATATTCTGATGCCACTCTTGAGTTGACTGTCATGCAAGGCTCAAATGCTCCCTCGTTGCTGGTCCTCAACATCAAATTCATGATATGACATTACGGAGGTCTGACGTCCGGATTCTCAGTCAAAAGAAGGATGTCCATGTAGCCTACAATACCTGCGCACCAAGTACAAAACGCAGCTGAGACATAGACTGTCCTCGGCTGCATTCTGTACTGAAGCGCGCCGCGTTTGCAAGCCGACCAGACCTACGTCTTTTGAGTTGGGAGCTACGGCATGAGTCAGTGGGGAGAATAGAATGTTAGTCATTGAACTTCTCTGCAAGATATTGAAGGACTCCGGAGAAGGTGTTTTCCTCTTACTCTCACTGTATATTTTGGTGGAATTGGAGAAGGCTGACGCAGGACTCTAGTTATCTCCATCATTCTAGGCGCATCGCTGTACGCCAAGCATAGTAAGAAGGAACATGTCTCTTTGCCGAGATATAAGGGAAGGCTCGTTTCCATGCGAAGTGGTGAGGAAGAGGGACGGTTGAGATGGATCGAGTGTCTCGCTGCTGGTTCAAATACCTCACTCAAGTTGCACAGCCAGACGCTCGCGCTTCGCGCATGGGGCTACTCTGAGTCAGACACGGTAACGCGTCGCCAATGGTTAGGTCTGAACATGACACCGGAGTCATACTTTGATCTTCAGCCACACGGTACCGACCGCGGCTGCTGCGCCATCGTAGTCAACTGTCGCTATACCCTGACTCGCTGGTTGCACTATCGTCGTCTGGACTTTAATTTCGTACGTTATTCGGGGCAAGTTCCATGCTGCAAAGGTTCCACGCCATTGAACTCGGGAATCCAAGACAGTCCCGAGACTTGTCGCGCATATCGCCGGGGACGAACGCCCTATTGGACCCTCAGCCTGAAGCGATTAGTTTTGGTTGGTGGGTTTATTCACATCATCTATAAAGTTCAGTTCAACGCTACAAAAGTGACAAAATGACAATGTTGTAAATGTGCGTCCCTTCGCGTCAATATATGCGTTTCGCCATTTGGCGGCTCTAGCTCGTTTGTTCTTTTGCGTAGTTCCCTACGATACTTCCCAGGCCGCAGTCCATCGATCGCGAACTGGATATGCGGGCGGGACTACTTGGCGGGACTGCGATTTCGAGTCAGTGTTCAGCGCTATTTTGGCCACGTGGGCGAACTTCTATGATCAAACAATCAAACGACTAGTACTGCTGCAGCAAATTTGAAGGTACCCTAAACCCTCGCTTGAGATATACCCGCTGCCCTACAGTGGTCAGACTCTGGGTTACCACCCACTAGTCGCGACCGCATCGCATTCTGTTTTTCTCTTGTCAGGCGCAAAATTCGAAGCGGGAGAGCATGCAATGAGGACAAGGTCATATTTTTGCACCTACTGGCTACGTGCTTATATCCACACGAATGCACAAGCATGACCACGGTAGAGGAGTCATATGGACTGGGCATCGCTAAGACTTTGAACAAACCCATATTGTCGGACGAAGCTTGGAAGTCCGCTCCACTTTCAGGCGATTGCTCCCCCTGGTATATTTCATTTTGATATGAGCAGTCGGATGTCTGCTGTCATGCTGCTCTTCTCAACCTCCTGGTGTTTCTCAGAAGCATGCCCCCGCGTCTTGCGTGGCTAGATCTAGATACAGGCGCTCTCTGACTCATAATGAAGCAACAGTCTCCTCGACGAGGTCTGGGTCTATCTGACAAGTATGGTTACGCGTCTCTCACCTCCACGGGAGCATGTCCATAAGACGACATGAAGTTTTGATAATAGGTACATTCACGCGCATGTCCCAGAGGAACTCTACTCTTTTCTCTTTGTGCCCTTTGGAATCGCAGGATACATCCATGCCGTGACGCATCCGCATCCTGAAGGTATGACTTCCATGGGAGCAATGGCTGAGCGGCTAGTGCAGATGATACGTATGACTTCCTCCCACCGTCACGCCAGCTCTCACTAGTCGCGCGTCTCGTCCCGACAAGCACCACCTACTTGAGCATCTTTAATTACTACACAGAGCCCTACTCAAAATGTATCCCCCAGCCCATTCTCTCCTGCTGATCCTTGTTCAATCCCTCGCACTCATATTGATTGCCTCAGTCATCATTTGGCATCCATGCCCATAACCTATCATTTCCAGGCCACATATACGCACTGTGAGAACATTGACTACATGCTACATTTCGAATCTACTCCATAAGGAGCCCTTTCGCCGCCTGTATAAACAACTGTACCTTCCGCGGATCCTTTCCTCGCCCATCCTCTGCTTCGACACCGCCACTTACGTCCACAGCCCACGGACGCACTGTCTCTACAATCTCCCTCACATTCTCAGGTGTAAGTCCGCCTGCTAGAATGATGGGCATCGCCGCATCGAGGGATACGCTCTTCTCATCGAGTGCCAAACCTGCCCCAACTTCTCCTCTCAGCACTATCCTCCTAGCGAGCTCCAAGTCAACCCTGACGCCTGTCCCACCACTTAAGCCATTCGCCTCTCCAGGGCGCACCGCATCGAGTAGGACGAACTCGTTCAACCCAGGACGCGTCAACTCTTGCAAGCCTTCTTCGCCTTCGCCAGACACGTGGAACACGCGCACGACAGGCACAGGGATATGCTGCGCCCACTCTGCCGGCTCTCGCCCGTGCAGCTGGACCATGTCAAGCTGGGCCACCTCCACGGCTTGTGTGATCGTGGCAAGCGGCTGATCCTGGAACACGCCAACGAGCAGCGGGCGGCCAGGAGAATCGGCATCGCGCAGAGACTCCCTGACGCGACGTGCGTGCGCAGAAAACCACGGCAAGCGCGTAGTCGTTCGCGTATCGACGTCAGGGGCGGGGAGAAGATCCTCGCGCACGGGCCGCGCGAAACGCGACGCATGCACAGCGACGGAAATTTTTTGTGCTTGTGCAAGGGACACATACCGCTTACTACTTGGTACGAACATGATCCCGAGCATGTCTGCACCTGATTCCATCGCGTGGAGAGCTTCCTCTTCAGTGCGGATCCCGCAAATCTTCACTAATGGAGGCGGGGGTCCGTCCATGGTTTCCGAGTTTGATTCTTCCGTGGGCCAATCCAAGAGTTGTCGGATGAATGTATGCGTATCGGGTGCGCGCATGAGTGCCTCTCCGACGAGCACCGCGCGGACACCCTGACGGACGTACATCCTCACGTCCTCCGGTCCCGATATTCCACTTAACGCACAGAGCACGATTCCTCGTTCGCGTACACCCTCAACTTCCGCGAGCCGACTTGTGGTGCCCATGTCTACGTTAAAATCGTGCAAATTGCGGTTGTTGACGCCCACGACCCGTGCACCGAGGTCAAGCGCAATCTTCATCTCGCGAGCGTTGTTCACCTCTACTAAAGGCTCCATTCCAAGTGAGCAAGAGTACGCATACAGTGCGCGCAGCCGGTCCTCAGGCAGCATGGCAACAATGAGGAGCACGGTGTCCGCACCGTTCAGCCGCGCCTCCGCAATCTGGTACTCGTCGAAAATGAAATCCTTTCTGAGGATTGCCGGCCGTCGCTGCAGCCCGTCTACCGCCGCCCGCGCGGCACGCATGTCCCCAAGTCCGCCTTTGAACCAGTGAGGTTCAGTCAGTACTGATATGACAGACGCTCCTGCGAGAGCATACGCGCGCGCCTGTCGCGCGGCATTGGTGTCCAGAGCGATTGCACCTTTGCTAGGGGATGCTCGCTTGATCTCGGCCATCAGGGCAGGCCGTGGGCCATCGGTAAGCGCGGCAAGGAATGAGATAGGAGGTGGAGAAAGGGAGAGAGCGAGGGCAGTCTGCAAGTCTGCAGGCTTCGTTCCCGGTGTCGCCTTTGCAGTTTCGACGTCGCGCATGCGTTGTGAATATATCTTCTCAAGGATCGTCGGGACCTGTGAAGAGCTTGGACCTGCATGTGCATTTCCGTTCTCCGCCGATTGTTCCTCTTTTCCAACGCCAAATTGTTCGTTCGTCTCATAGTCCCAGCGCCCGCCTCGGAGTTTCAAGAAATTCGCGAGCAGAGTATCTCCCTGTTCGCTGAGAATGCTCTCAGGGTGATACTGCACTGCTTCTATTGTAAATGTCCTGTGCCGGACAGCCATGATCACGCCGCTTTCTTCTGTAGTTGCCGACACGGCGAGGCACGGGGGAAGCGACGTGGTTGCAGCGCTCAGTGAGTGATATCGAGTGCACGGGAACGACGACGGGAGGCCATGAAAGAGGCCACGAGAATCATGTCGTATCCGGGATGTCTTGCCGTGCATAATTTCACCGGCGTATCTAAAGATCCGCACAATTGTCAGTACATGTCATTCAAATTGCGGGGCGCTGGCGGCTATGTTTATAAGACTGGGTAGAACGCCGATGGCCTGCCCGCGAAAGCGCCGTCGGAAAGACATGGCGCGGAACGACAGGAATGCAGCACTCACCCAATCTGCCCGCCAAAAGCGTCTACAAGACATTCGAGGCCCATGCATACACCGAGAATGGGCACTTTTCCGGCGAAATACTTGATTGCGTCGCGCGAGATGCCTGAATCGGTCGTGGGGTGTCCAGGTCCGGGGGAAATGATGAGCGAGTTTATTTGCAGGCTGGGAAAGGCATCCGGAGAGATGGCATCGTTTCGAATGACAGTAACATCTGCACCCAGCAGGCAGAGCGACTGATAAAGATTCCAGGTAAACGAGTCAAAGTTGTCGATGAGTAGAACGTCAAGCGGACGGGCAAGCTCGAGAGGAAGGGCCATTAGTGAGTGAGGCTGATATACAGGAATGTGATGATTTTATATGCGAGACGACGGGCGAGGCGCGAGCAGGCGTAGCTGAGGTTGTCGGTAAGGACTGGGAGGCCGAATCGAGCTGAGCCAAGGAAGGACCGCCAACTTTGACTCAACTCAATTGGCTGAGATCGCAAAGCACGCAACGGGTCACGTGCAGCCTATTCCTTGCTCTGCCCCTAACCCGAGATGAGGTGCCCATTCTTCCCGGCTCCTGTCACTGTTAAAGTCTTGTTTGCATCACCGCTACGGGCTGGTGCATCGCCTGAAACGCAAAGTAGGTTTATCATATAGATTGAACTCCAAAATAAGAGACAACTACACAGTGTTCATACTTGTTATCTACTGGCAAACACGACAACTACAAGTCTTTGCGAGGAGCTTGGTCCGTCCCACTTTCGTAGCGTCTAACGCCCTCTTTATTTTCCTCACGCCCATCGCCCTTGAATGACTCTACGTCCTCGTTGTTCATCCATTCCGAGACGTGATCGGCTTGCCACTTCTTGAATGTAAAGCCAGGCCCCGTATGGGAGTAGTCCTTGTCATTTGCTTGGTCCTTGTGGTACTTGACCTGTGGGAAATCCGAATGGGCAGTGGAAGGATCAAGCGAGAGGGAGACCAGCGCATTGATGGTGGCGGACTTTACCCCGCCAGGGAAAGTCCATGTCTGCGTGTACGTATATATGCGCAGATGCAAACAGCGTCAGATGGACACTTTCAAAGCCATGTGATTCTTCACGCACCTGTTCGTTCTTGAACTGAATCAAGAGTGGCTCGTTCTTGACAACCTCGTAGCCCTCGTTCTTGCTCTCCTTGAAGAGTTTTGGAAGAGCAAACCACTGGCCAGCCATCTTGTAACGGTCGTCGGCGTACACAAACTGATCGTCGTAGACACAGTCCGGGGTGTAGCGCATGACGCGCTCGCGGGTTGGCTTGCACGAATACAAAGCGATAATATCGTCAAGCAAACGCTGGCGTGGAGGGGGCAGCTGGAGAGAGGCACTTGGGTTGGGGTGGTAGTCATCGGTGGACGATGTCTGGCGGACTTCGAAGTGCTCTCCGGGGAGCGAGGAGTCGTTGGAGAGAGAGGACATGGCGCGGTGAGAGAGATGGGCAGATGCGATAAGGAGTATAGGTGAAGTTTGATGACCGCCGTCGCTCTTTTATGAAGTCGACGAGGCGATGATGTCACTGGCAGCGAGCGGAGAGATGTGCTCGCTCGCGATCGCCCCTACGGTCGTCGGATCGTGGCACACGTGCAGCTTGTGACGGCCATATTTGGCCCTACGTCTCAAGAGGGCCATCTCAGCAAACAAATCAAACTGAAGGAGATATACCAGCATACCTATCTTCCTCCAATCAGCTATCATCACCTGTGACACGAACACTGGGTATCAGCAATTGCCGCTCTGTATATTTCCACGAACATCAGACTCATTGAAATCTCTCTGTGGACCGAGGATGTCTGCCCCAATGTGGATACTTACACTTTCTTCATTATAACGACAAACACTGTGTGCCACGGAAGAGACCACGTACGAAGGTGTGATGCGGTCTGGGAGTAATGAAAGAATACTTTGTATTGGGATAAGCAGCGATTGAAGATGTCAGTACAATCACTATGCCGCTAACACTGCCAATATCACCAGACATCAACCAACGCCAAGCGGGACCACTGCGTAGTAAGCCACCTCCCGAGTCTGCTTACTGAAACAGTACGCTGACAATCTGGCCATGCCGGGCGAGGCCATCTTGCACTGCTGAGTCGCGCAGGGGGCGGCTAGGCTGCCCAAGAACAAAGGGATAGAACAGAAATAAAAACAGCATCATTGACAAAAACATAAGTGTAGACGCCATAGCTAGCCCCTACAGGGACTCTCGAGTGTCTGGATCCGATGTACATGTCTGGCGCCGGCGAAAGCCCGATTAAAGTCAAAGTTCGACCAGAAGTCGACACCAGCGCAACGGTACTGGCATTGCTGCCGGGCACGACGACGAGCGATGGTTGCGTGCAGTAGGATCACAAGCAAAAACACGTAGTCCACATGCGCACTTACCACGGGTCGCGGAGAAGCTCCTTCGCAGACTGTCCATCCTCGGAACCCTTTGCAGCATCTTCCGCAAAACATAAAGAAACCGGCCTTGTTGTCGCCTTCCAGGTTATCCTCTAATCCTTCCAGCAACATCGTGGGCGCCTCATTCTTCAAATTGTCTGCAACGCTGGTCAGAACATGGCGAGACGACGAGGAACAGCACTAACAGTTCTCATCAAAACATGCAGACATGACTGGACTACGTCGTAAAAGCTTTCCAATAACTTAGGAACCTGAACGAAAGATGTTACCCAGGCGCACGAGGTAGGATGCATGTGGTTTGTACCAGGCAAAATTCTCTTCGAGTTTCACGGAGGGGTCGATGAGGCTGAAGCCTGTCGTGGGGATTTGTCTCGGAGAGGAAGGCGAGCGGCGGAGTTGCCTATATGACCATCGAAGCCTTGAATACAAAGTAATCATAAAGTTATGTGTGCAGAAAACGAGGCATGAAGGAGATAGAGACGTCGGACGACTTTGAGGGCTTGAGCGACTGACGTACCGATCAACTCCGTCTGTGGCTGCTCAGGTTCGTGCAATACAGACTTCCGGAATGCATTACCTTCGAACAGGGTCGAGACATTACCAAAGTGAGAATTGAACCAACACTCACAGACGGCACGTGATGGGAAGAGATTTTGGACGGTATATAAGCTATAGGTAGTAGTTCTACAGATGGGTCAAGCGCACATTGCATCTAAAGTCCATTACGAGCAGATTATCGGATTAGTATACTACTCCACT